TGGATTTGTTAGTGTCAATTTTGTTCGTGAGTTGAGTTTTATTGTGGGGAATGTTGGAGAGCTTTTCAACTATAGCTGGAGGGAATTTATTGGTGTGAATAAAGGAATGCTTTAAGTGGTTAATTTCTTTATTTATGTAGTCCGTTGAACAGTCTTGTGGCTGTGTTTATGAGGTTTTTAAGTGTATTGATTTTTTGTGTGGTGTCATGAGCGGAATTCCAGGGGATGTAGAGACCAGTGTGTGTGTTAGTTTAAAACAAAAATTCACCGCAAAAACGTGTGTCAGATCTAATAATTTTGAGGTTAAGAAAGGATAACTGTTTATTGTTTTCGTGTTCTATGGTAAATCTGATGTTGGGATGAATGGAATTTATGTGTTTAAAGAAAGTTAGTGTGTGTTCTGTAGAAGTGAAACCAGCACAGTTATCCTTTCTTATGTAATAAAAAGTCAAACCAGTGCCCTTCCTATCTAATCCTGTCATTTAAAAAAATGCTAGTACTTATCTCTGACATTAGCTATTGGATTATTTATAAGCAATAAAAAGAGCAGCTTGTTCTTTACAAGATTTTTTAAGAGGCTAATTCATTTTGGCATTCATAATTAGATAGTTGACCTCAGGTTCATTTTTTGAGATATTGGTTTTCTACTCTGAGCAAGAAAGTGAAGTTGTTTAATCTATTTATTGCTTAGTTTGAAAGCCAGTTAAATGGTAATTGCTGGTTTGATTATTTTGCCTCAAATGTGTTTTGTGTTCTGAAATCTATATTTGAAAACTTCAGAGTTTATTTCAAGAACTGACTTAGAGCACTCACAAATATTATGTGAATCACATACTTTGCTTGTGTTGTTTATAATACACAGCATTTTGCCTTCTGCTCTGTTTGTTGTTTTTGATGGGTGCTCTATTAGGTACTAAGGACAATGATAATACCATAAATTTACAGAAAATAGATGTGAAAATGTTAACAGTAGAAACTTTGAAGTATAAATCTACAGTATACAAGGAAAATTATTCATTAGAAGAAAACGTATTTCATATTTTTAAACTTCATTTCACTGTACAATGATCATGATTGATGATTTCACTACAGTTAGTGTTGAGGTAGACAAAATAACAGATAAAATATAAATTTTTATCAAAAAAAAGTTTTGGTATTCATTCAGGAAATTATACCAATGAAATGTGAAAACTGTAAATTAAAAAAGTATTTTTCACTCTTAACGTGAAAATCACTTTGCTCTCAGACTAGTAAGAGTCTGAGTCAGACAAATCTTTATTAAAAATACTTATTTTTTTGTACAACAGATTTTAATGTTGACTAAAAGTTTGTCAAACTTCATTAGGGTGCACATAGTAAATTCAGAGTTATAGTAAATTTTAATTGTCCAATGGACTGACCTGTGCAATTAGGGTTAAAGGTTCTTAAGTACTATGCCTATGGGAGTTAAATTTAAAAATCTAAAATGTGTAATACCTTTATTTTATTACACCAGGTAATCCTCCAAAGACGAATGCCTGGTTGGCACAGTGTGGAATGTATGTTGCAATTGTTATACTTGAAAAATTGATGATTACCTTATTGATCCAACTACCCTTTTGGAAAAATGTAAGAAAATGTTATTTTTTAAACTGTTATCAGCACTAATTTTAAGAATACAGGAAAACTGTTTTCTCAGTACTGTACCTATGTTACAACCTTAAGCTAATGACTACTGATTGTGCCAAGATATCCTAATTTATCTGCTTCCAATTGCTCTTTATAATTTTACAGCAGTAAGTTTACTCTTTGCAAAATAACTTTTCTCATAATTATGCCTCTCCACCACACCCATTGCCATATTCTTGGTCCATTAATTACCTATTACATGGTGCTATTATCTATACCTGGCTTTTATCTAGATAATTCCTGACCAGATATCATCACCTTTTATATTGGCACTTCATAAGCCCAGATTTTAAGCTGTGAGGAGCTTAAAACTTGCATGTGTTTTTGAGTTTTTCTTTTCTTAATTCTTTAAAACTTTGAATTTAGATTTTCTGTTAGTACTTTTATGAGGTTTATAATTTGCATGTTGAGAATTTACCTCAAGATGTTAATCGTTTTGAAAATTCAGGATTTTCTGATAGTAGACATTTGAATTCGTAGTCTTTAACTTTCCTGTGCATTAACACATGCACTCTTTTGATATTTTGAATTTGATGAAAGTCCTCAGGATCAAATTGCACTGTTCGAACAGGAAGAGTAGCCCAACAATTGATAGGGGTACTGTCACTTCAATATTAGGGATGACTCTGCAGATATTCTGTGTGTAGCTTTGCACTAAATTATGAAACAAACATTTAATTATTTTTTTTTTTATTCCTCTGAGTTTTTGATGTTACAAACATGTATTTATTTTATAAAATATAGTCTAGAATTTCTATAAGTATTGTGTGTATTAGCTGTAATTATTTAAAACAATGGCTAAATATCTAAATTTAATAAAGAATGCATTTGCACAAGCATAACTAAAGTTTCGGCTTGCTTTTAAAATTGGCAATTCAATAATGAGTAATTCAAATAGCATTAATATAACGTATATTATTAACATTGTTTGTTAATATTATGTCAGTCTAAGTGAAGTATAGGTATATATATATGACATTGAACATTAACCTATGTGAAGAGTTTTTTAATTAATAAGAAAGTTTGGGTTATTGAGTCCTCTACCACAATTTTTGTATGTATTTTCTCTTTTCATATGAATGTGGAATGGAATGGGCTGATTATTTAAAGGTATATCAGTTCTGTGATAGCATTTTTCACAGTTTTAATATTCGTATATACCGTATTGGCCCAATTATAGGGTGAAAGAAAACAAATTGAGTGTCATAACATCCTTTTTTAGCTTTGCAAGAATTAGCAATGATCTTGAACCAAGGATCTGGTGTGCTTGTGTAGATGGATACTATCTGGACATTCAGGAATGTGATAGGCTAGTGTAGGTGTAAGAGGCGACTATGAATTTTACAGCCTAATTAATAAAAAAAATCATCTTATAATCAGGCCAATATGGTATATAGTTGTTATATTATCCATTATTATGGTTGTAAAAAGTGATATTATATTTTGCATTACAGGTTAGATCATTCATTATGTCTCCAATAACAAATGCTAAGGTAGAAGTAGCCATTGTGGTGTTGATAGTTCCATTTATCATTAACGTGAGTATAGTAATTGGTGTTTAATAAGTTTTCTAATAATGTAACAATCTTATTAGATGCATTAATTACAAGTTATGAATACTGTTAAATATTGTTATTGTGGTATTGTAACAATAATTGTTTTACTTTTTCAAGTTTTGTTTCAGATAGCATTAATTACAAGTCTTGAATACTGTTAAGTATTGTTATTGTAGTATTGTAACAATAATTGTTTTACTTTTTCAAGTTTTGTTTCAGACAGCTTTAATTACAAGTCTTGAATACTGTTAAGTATTGTTTTTGAAGTATCATAACAATAATTATGTTTGACCAAAAGATGTTCAAAAGTAATATTATAATAAAGTGCATGTTGCTGTTTGAGGCTCAAAGTTCAATTTAGTGGTTTGTATGAGACAAAGCAACTGAGTCCAGCCAAAGATCTTTGACATTAAAATGAATCAGTGAAACAGAAGTACTCTGTTTGCTGTGTATCACCTGTAACTAAAAATAATAAAATAATCCATATTGCTTAGTACAAAAGGTCTAAGCCTTTGGTATAAAATTGTATACAAAATCTTTTTTTTTTTTGACCGACATGTTTAAATCAACTGGGGTATCATAATTAGATTTAGACAGCACTTGACAAGATATAATGTAGATGGTCTCATTAGTTTGTATTATATCGAGTTAAGGTTGGTGTGACAAAAAAAGAGAGAGAACTTTCGAAGAGACTTTGGGAAAGGGTTTAACATCTGAGGTTTGATTAGCTAGGACCAACTAACCATCAGTCTTATGTTCTGTATACCTCTCTATCCAGCAAGACATCTTCTCATTTTTACATGTGTATGGAATATCTTGAGGAAGGTGCCTGCATTCCTGCACTGTTACTTCTGTAATTTCAACCTTAGATGTGTGAAAATTGGCGCACTTAACAAAACTTGTTATAGTCATTAATGGGCTTATATTCTCATTGTTCATGCAAAAGCTATTGCTATATGTGATTTAAAATAGATTTGCTAAAATCTGTTGGATCCTTGTAAATTGTATAATGCTGTATAAAAGCTAATGACAATATTTGGCTGTATTATGACTAATCAAATTACAAATTCTTGATCATTCAAGAGGTGTTTGCTATTGTTGGCTGGTCATTTAATAATATCACATAATTCTAATACGATTTCACCCTGGTTTGTATAACCAACACATGCAATGTGATGAAATCATGGCAATCAGAATAGTTATTATTTTGCAACAAATAATAAATTTATGTGTGTGTGTGTTTACATATATTATGATGGTATTTTTTTACTTTTTACTAACTATACTAATAACTTCTGCAGAGCTTCTTCAGTCAAATTATTCCTGGCATTTTTAATAGTGATTTCAAATTCATGGGTTTTTCAAAGAAAGACTACTGCAAGAGGGATGGTGTCAGAAATTTTTTAAGAGCTATTGTATCTACACATAAAGATATTATGTTCTTGTTCTTAAGATCTACAGGTGTGTGTGTATGTTTATAGCTATTTTCAGAAGAGCAAGAGTGGTCTTATACTGCAATAACAATCTTCATCAGATAATTCAGGCTGTTTTTTCATCAAGAAAGAAGGTTGTTTATGCAGGACTCTTAACAGCCTTGGAACTACTGAATCCTCTGTATGAGGGAATCAGTAAGTGATTGGTTAGGGAAGTTACCCGAAACACCATCGTCCAAAGAATTCAGTGCTTCCAAGGTTGTTGAAACCATAATCAACTTTCTTTACATGTTTTAACAATCACTCTTCATTTCAAATACGACTGACTTTCTACTAGTGTTATCTTTAGATTTTGATCTGTAAACGTGTTAAATGTAGTTTTAAGTATTGATAAGGGCTAATTCCATTATTGACATTTTGATGTTTCTAGCCATGAAAGTAATTCAGATTTTATATAGGAATTTCTTTAATAATATTGTTAATGATTTGCTTAAACAACTACATTTATAACTTTATAATCACCAGCCTTCCAACTTGTGAAAAACAAAAGAGCTAAGTATTTTGAAAACCAGCTCAGATGTAACTGAGAAAAATTTTCTGATTGTAATCACAGAACAACTTTTTCTTTCAAAATAAATGTTACAAACTATATTAAATATTCTCTGAGTTAGCATTCTTGTTATTAGTAGCTAGAGCTTCTGATATTATTAGCTAATAATTTCAACTTTATCTTCTACCCCTTTTTAAGATTCATAAATTTTGTTCATTTTTTTTTTGATTACCTGGTTAACATGAGAAAACATCAAATGTGTATAAAGAGTTTTGGTTGAATACTAATAAAATTTATACAGAGAAACCTTGTGATAGGAAGCATTGTGTATATGTGCTTGGGAAAATTAAATACATTAAAATGTTTGAATAGAACAAGATTTGGACAAAAACATAAAACATGTAGTTTTTGTTGATTTTAAGTTTTATGTGTGTTACACACTTTTTTCAGTAACTTGTATGAATGTGATTATTTTGCTTTGACTACAAGTTAAAATTGATGTTTTAGGAAGTTACATATTCTTTTTATTTAGGAGCATAAGATGCTTCTTTTCTTTTTATTGTTAACTACAGATGGTTCTTTTATTTTAGAAATTCTTTTTATTCTGGTAGATTTTATTCCACCTCAATGAACTACTTTGCACTGATTATCAAAATACAAATTTAATTGCATGATTATAGCTTTCAGTCTCAATAGTCATTGTAGATACATTTTGCCATCAAAGATATATAAATGCTTCCCATGTTGTATATTTGAACTTGCAGATTTTCAGCAGCATAAATGAGAATATGATATCTTATTTTAGATTTATCTGTATTGTAGGTGATAATGTTCTGGGTGACTGACAACTTTCTGATGCATAAAAATGAACTCTTGAAGGATGATAGACACCCTATCACAAAGTTTAGAATGCATTATCAACCAATGGACTGTCACAATAATTCAGAAGTAGAAATTCTTATGTCAGATGAGGAAATTATGGAACCAGAAGACCTTGCTCATCAACATTGGCATGCCAGCTCATCTCCAGTTACTTGACTTGATAGTAGGTGCTGACAGTTAGCTAGTAAAAAGTAATTGGATTATTTCATTGTACTTTTGATCTTTTTCTTGTTTCAACTTTGAGCTTATTTGAGTGAGGCATTTTTCTAGTGTGTAATTAAATCACTTCACAAAGTCAAAGCTAGTTGATCTGAGAATTTCTGGTTAGTAATTGATATGTAGTCACCAATAAAATTTGTTAAAGTATTTCTCTAATCAACCCAGTGTATTTTTACACATTTGATATACATTATATTCTTGTCATTTTAAATTTGAAACTACGTGAAATATCTGTTTGTGGATGATGAGTATGTTGAACCAGACTGTTAAATACTAATCTGTATTTTACAATATCCTGTGGAAAGTCTGTTTCATACAAAGAACAGCTTTATCATCCTTATTGAATAACATTTTGTTTTTTGTGTTCAACTAAATAACTGATCATATGTAATGAACAAATCAAATGTTTTATTTATTACAAAAATATATATTTCTGTATTCTGTAGTCTAATGTTATATATATATATTAATCAAACTTTCAACAGTGTTTTAATCATGACTGTTATTTATAATGAATGATAATACTGTCCAGAGATAAGAGATACGATATCAAGCTGTTTATCTAAGAATGACTAAATAATGATGTATTTCACTGCATTACTCGGATTTTGATGAAATGTATGAATGTACATTTTAGAACTGTGATCCTAAACTTTTTTATGAATAACTAGCAATATGGTACACTTGATGTGTGTTTCCTTATTAAATCCAGTGTTTTTAGTATCACATTTGACTTCCAAGTAATTAATTTTGAGTATCAGAGTAATGCATAGAGATGTTCTTTTTAGATACATAGTTAGAAGCTTTTACTTTAGCACTGAGAATTTTTATTAATGACAATACATTTTGACATTTCCACATGCAATAGATATTACTGATATCAATGTTAACAAGAGATTGTTTTTTTTTAAACTAAATGTGAATTACACCTACCACATATAACAGTATTTTTTAATTCAAGCATTGATAACTTTGGTCTTAATATATTTATTGAGAAAACTATCAAGGCAATTAAATTTCCAATATTAGAAGATCAGTTTGAGCAATAATTTTAGAAATTAGTAGGACTTATAATTACAGGTTCCCTTATCAGTTACAGATTAGTCTAGAGTAGGGGTTCCCAAACTGGGGTTGCAGGAAAGTGTTGGGTGTGTGTGTGTGTATAACATATCAACATCACTGTTAAAGTACTCAGTATCTGTAGATTTATTGGGTGGGGTCCTCAGTCAGGTTGTTGAATGTTTTTTTTTTAGGCCTTGTGCTGAGGAAATTTGGGAACCCCTGATCTAGAATATTGCAAAGAGGACTAGTATTGTTTTATATGTTTTTAGATTTAAATGTTAGTAGAAATGTTTCTGCTACAAATCGTGGGCCGAGCATGGCTCCGTGGTTAGCGTGCTAGACTGTGGACTGTGTTTCACATCCCTTTACTGGCAAAAAGAAAATTGTGCTCTACAGTTTGAGGTCATGGGTGCATTATAAGATTGACAGTTAAATCCTACTGTTAAGTCTACCAAGGGTTGACTATGAATGGTGCTGACCAGCTACCTTTCTTATAGACTATCATTCAAAATTAGGTATGGTTAACACCGAAAACCCTCAAGCAGCTTTGCATGAAATTCAACACCAAACAAACAATCATGATGAAAAGTAAAAAAATAAATTAATATTTTAAAATTATCTGAAATTTTAGTTGAATTTAGAAACATATGTTGAGAATAGTTTATGATACATATAAATGATGTAATATTATTTGTTCTGTTTGGTAACTACAGTTTGAGTAATTATGAATTATGTATCGTTGGGTTTATACATTGCAAGTATTGAAACACCAGACATAATATTTGCTATTAAACTTGTAGGATTACTGACATTATTAACTGCTTGACGTACTTTCATGATAAATTGTTTGCATTTACCAGATTACCTAATAGAGATAAAGATATTGATTGATTTACATTGATATAGAATTTTAACTTGAGTAATAGCCCAACAGTTATGCACATGCATTCAACGCGTAATTGTCTTAAATTCACAAAAACCTCATACACATACTTCTTGAGTAATCACCAGTTTGATAAGTTAATTAGAGTGTGAGAACATCTATAAATGCATTAGAATTGAAAATATAACTTTGAATTTATTAACACATTTTAAGCTGTTATGAAAAGAAATAATGAAATGAAGTACAAGGTTATAGTCAATAAAATTATGCTTGAATAAAATGTGTTTGTAATAGAATTAAGTTTCAAGGTATTCTTAATATGCAAGAATTACCACCATAATGGTAATATGAAACTGTTTATAGACCTTCTTGTAAAAAACAAAAAAGTATGCTAGAAAGGAACTTGAAAGTAGCCGAGTAAGTAGTTGAAGTGTGAAATTGAATTGTGTGAAGAAAAAAATATATATGTATGTAATGTACTGGCTGTCACTTGAACAGATATTTCTGCATTTATTTATTTTTTGTATTTCTATTAGCTGAGATAGTAGGGGTCAAGATTATGTTTGTTTGTTCAGAACAAAATAGAATTTTGATTTTAACTTTGATTTAAAGTATGAAAATGTGGATATAGTCAGAAATGAAGTTGAATTGATTTTGAATAAAAGTGCATAATTTTGAATACAAGATTTCTTATTTCCCTTCATAAGTTTTCAACTAAGCAAAATATAGTTTCTTAATGGTAGTCTTACTTTATTTTATTCTTTAATTTTACATACTGACCAAGCTGTTATTTTTTTTCAAATCAGATTTGGTATTGTTACATAAATTAGAAAAATGTTATATAGACTGTAAAATTTTAGCTGCTCATCTAGGAGAAAACTTTTTTTTCCTTCAGATTACCGTATTATACTTGTACTAGTACGTATAGTGATGTGATTACCATATATTTGTACTAGTACATATAGTGATTACCATATTATACTTGTACTAGTACATATATAGTGATGTGATTACCATATAGTACTAGTACATATAGTCATGTGATTACCATATAGTGCTAGTACATAGTCATGTGATTACCATATAGTACTAGTACATAGTCATGTGATCACCATATAGTACTAGTACATATAGTCATGTGATTACCATATTGTACTAGTACATATAGTCATGTGATCACTATATTGTACTAGTACATATAGTAAGGTGATGCTGACATAAGGTTGACTGTCCTCTCTTGTTATGAAAAAGTAGCCTATTAAAATAACATAAAATTCATCTACATGTCACTGAAATAAACTTAAAAGATATAGATGCTAAAATTTATCATAACTTGTTATGTGATAAATTGGAAACTAGAAGATATTCCAAAAGGTATTGGTCAGTGTTAACATAACTTTTGCATTTATTGAATAACAAAACTGTGTGAAAAATGTGCTCAACACATTGAATAACTGTGAAAAAAGAAACCAATGATAAATATCTTACAAAGATTGGGTGCCTTTCATAAAAGTTATGTTCAAAGTCTCACTCTAGAGGTGAAAAAAATAATTAATTTTTATGACATATTTGTATCTAGTTCTGAACAGTTTACTTCAGATTAAACTTCTAGCTCATTGATCATCTGATATTCATCAGTTTAACAATCTAATTTTATGCTAGACATACTACATTTACTTTATGTTATCTGAAATATATTAAGATAATTTTGAAACGTATGCCTTAAATTTTGTATATGAATTACAGCTACGATTGTTGTATATGTATACCTGTAGCTTTTATGTACATTATTCCGTAACCATCTTTTGCTCTATACATGAAGTTTATTTAATTGAACTTCACATATCTCTTTTTTTTTTCTTTTCTTCCATGGGTAACTTGTAGAGTATTAATGAATAATGATAATAGTAAGTGAAATAAGAGACACGGTTCAGTACAGTTGAAAAAACAATATTTTTTGGCTTTATTTTATTAGAGGATATTGTTTTTGATAATATTTTATTGATGTAAATAAAATTGAGGGACCATTTTTAATGTTTACAATTTGTTAGAAACTAAAGCTTCCATTAAAAACTGACTGAGCAAATTAAATATACATGTATATCAACTTATTGTGATGATCTACATGGGTCTTGCCCATTTTAGTATTCTAGAAATCCATATTGTGATATTCATAAAACATCCTCAAATTGTTGCAAAAGGGGAAAATGTACAGCTTTAATAGATTTAAATTCTAATACATTTTAAGACTTAGTTTTTTTAGAATTTATATTTTTTTTTGAAGATTACTAACTGATGATAGAAGGGTTCATTAAAAGTCTTCATGCTAAAAGAGTGCCTTTATGGTTGAATTAATCCTATACAAAAAAAATTAACCCTCAGGTGAACCAAATGGAGTTGAAATAAAAGGTGTAGTGTACAATTACTCCTGTATAAAGAATAAACATTAAAGATGCTATTGAGATATATTTGAGAGTATGCTATTGAAATATGCATACAACAATTCTATTGGCATTTAATAAGTGTCTTAAAATATTGATTTTGTAGTTTAATATAAAACCATTGATTATTTGATGGCTTTGTCAACTTGAAAGAAAAGTTAGCTTTTTTAATGAACATAAAATGCCCAAAACAAATAGAAAATTGACCTTCAAAACAGCATATTAATGTTAAATATGAAGTTATATATATGTGTTCAAAGTTGTTTTAGCAACAAAGTAATATTGTGATCTGACCAAAGATGTGTTTGAAAACTATTGTAATTTTATTTGAACAATAAAATAGAATTTTGTTGTGCTTAATCACTGATATCTTATTTTATACAAAGTGATGTATATAATATTGTTACGCCTCAGTTTGTTAGTTCATTTTCTGTAAAAATTCTTTCCGAAGAAACTTTACCGATACAAGTCCTTTCTTAAATAAAACTGGTTTATTCTTTCTGAATACAACTTTGCAATACACTTAATTTCCACAGTCGCGGCTATAACAAACGCTATAATTCACAACGAACGTCTCACGTGCTCGACTCAACTGTCAATCACACAATACATTGATGCCGTCTCGTCTTGACCGTCTTATATACATACAAGACTACCGCATATCTAGTAGGCTCTCGAGCGTTCAGGAAGGGACGTGAACGTTCGAGAAGTGCATGACGTGTTACTAGAGTCACGTGACCTCCGCTGTCGTAACAATATTATTCTGTTTGGCTGAGTTGTAGACATGGCCTAGTGGATAGCATATCAGGCTACAGAGTAAAGGGTTCAGGATTCGAGATGTGATTCTGCTCAACACCTCCACTCTTGTTATAAAGATGACAGTCAATCCCCTATTTTGGTTCAAAAAAACTGCACAAAGCTCTTGTGGTGATGGATATTGCTGGCTGGGTGTCTTCCCTCCAGTCAGTAGTTTAAATTTTTAGGTTATACTGAATCCCAAGAATCTCTAACATCCTAGCTGTGCCATTCAGGTTAAAAATTTAATTTTTTCTTTTTTTTTGGCTGAGTGAATGTAATTATAATTCACTTGCCTGATGTCCAGTGAATGTTTAGTGTTCACTGATATACTTCTTTATACTGTAAGTTTGAAGCCTTAATATTCTATGGTACCAGAGTTTATTTCTTCAAAAAAAATGTACTGCTTTTAAATTCTCACTTCTACTAGTAGCATAAATGTATAACTTTCTTAAAAAATTTATAAGCAGATAGTAATGCATTCAAGTAGTTTGCAAAGTTATTAAAATTTGAATCACATGTTTGAATACTTAAATTGTACTCCCATTTTGTTTTCAAAATTAGCAAGTTACATATGACAACCACAATCGATGTGAAGTTGTGATTAAATGGCGTGCCTACATTTTGGCATTTTTTAAGTTGTGTGATGCCGCCAAACATTGATCACTTTTTTGGAAGGGTATTTAACTGCTCATCTAATGCAAAATATTCATACATTCAGATCGTAAAGAAGAATTGTTCAGACTGAAGATTTAGAATCTTCAAGATGTATATATCCCTTGTACTTAATGTCATTGAAAAACAAAAGAATATGGATCAACTTGGAGCACCAGAACCTTCCAGAAAGAGACCAGCAATGAAGCTTATTCTAGCTGTGGTAAGCAAAATGTGGTGTCTTTTAACATAAAGTTCAGTGGCAAAAGTCATTTATGTGCCTCAGGCAACAGTATGAAACATAAACAAGAAGGATCTCTACCTGGAAAAGAGAGCCCACAGGGTATTGGTTTACCAAGATAAAGCTTCTAGTCATACCTCCTTTTTAACCATTGCATGTCTCAAGCAGCTGGATAATGAAATAGGTATCCATGCTATTCCATATGAAGACATACCAGTAAAGCCTCTTGATGCAGTGCCTACGGATTTTTTTTGTGATCTGACTGTTGAAAACCTTATGATGGAGATATTTGCATTGGAAACTACACTGCAGGGCTATTGTCAAAATGCACAGTCATCAGATAGAGCCTGACTTTTTTGACATAACTAAGAATTGCATTTTATAAATTTTAATATTATCACCAAACCCTTCTTTTATAACTCTGTGTGAGTGTTTGACAGTTTCAACAATAATCATACAAATACTAATCTTTGAATTTCATGTGGGCTGATGATAACATCAAAAACAGGGGTACAAGTCAAGAAATTGTATACTGTTTAAGTAGCTGGTTAGAACTATGGCCAACTCTCAGAAGGTACATCAGGGGTAATTGGGAAAAATCTGATGGTATAGTAACAAGTACTTGAAAAAAAGTTTAACCCCACTCTTGAAATGAATAGTGATCAATATTCTAAACTTAGAAACAAGTACAAGCATGTGTGCACAAGCTTCCCCATGACAGAACTCTTAGAAGAAATATTAGCAAGAACCATCTGGCCAATGGAAGATTTAAAATGGATTTATCGATATTATTACAAGTAGCTTCAAGCGATATTTACCATATTCTTGAAGAAGAATGTTTGAAAAATAATCCTTCCAGTGAAATTATAAGTATGGTAGTACTTATAATAGAATGGGCCAGATGTGCAAAACATAATAAATTCTCAAACACTGTAAACAACATGTGAACAAAACTTTTATAAGGTCTTTACACATTTTATTGAATAGTAAATAAACCAACTGTAGAGTAACAAGCCACCAAAATACTTAAAAGTTTGTAGAGTAAAAAATATTTCACAAAACCATAAATTTGTCAATCTGATTGGCTAACGTTATTGGAAAGGCATAGCTCTCTCCTGCCTTCACATTATGCAAATCTAAATGCACATAATTGAATTTTGCTACCTTGACTAAAAGTGTTTTACTTATAACCCTGGTAATAACAAGTAATAAAAATAACCATTTTACAACACTACTAATGAGCTAACAATACATTAGTAGCTATATTATATGATTACGAGCATGCTCTGTGAGTTGCCAAGTAACAACTTGCTCTCATATCATGTGCGAGTGCATGATGCTTATGGGCACGTGGACTACATAGTTTCTCTAGATCTAGATTTTAACTAATATGTTAATAACCTTGAAAAGTCCTTTGCAACTTTGAGGATGCATTGTGTCAAAAACCACCAAGTGTTGTAATGTTATCCTGCTTATTCCTACCTTGATTCCTTACTTTTCGGTGCTCCCATTCCAACTTTCTAATTTTTTTAAACATTTTTTACAATTCTAGATAACTGTTTTGGAAACAATAAAGTAAGTACAAAGTGTAGATGTCTTAAAGTAAACTATTAGCATTACTTTCCAGGAAAATGTGAATAAATCAGTGTTTTGGAAGGAATGTTTTCTTTTATAGTAGTGATAATCAACTGATGAAAGTGCATCATAATTTATGCACAAGCTGAAAAGCAGCCTGCATGTTCACAGAGCTAGGGAACAGAATACCACTTCCAAACAAGAGAACAATCCTGGTCATACCAGAGTGGAAAGATGATACTTATTGATCACAGAAAGATAGGGCAAGTTCCAGTTACATTTTTGTAAGCCCATGCAAATTCTCATTAATTTGTTGTGATTCACTGAAGCAAGAGACAAGCATAAATTCACTATTAATCAGAACTATAGATCTGGTGACAAGATTAGGCCTAATATCTGTCCTGAGTGGTTTACAGTTCATCATTACAGAGGCTTAGAGAGTGAGTTACCTTTGCTTAAAACAAGTGGTGATCCGTTATCAATTGTTGACAATCTTGTTACTGTAGACTGGTGGTGGTCGTGTTGATGGTGTTGTTGTCATGGTTAGTAACCTGTACAATCACCCGAGTTTAATTATAAGTTGTTACATATTTTTAATAATTTAAATACGAGATACTAATTACAAACTAGTTTTTATACTACATTTCATCTACTAATCTGTTGCTATCTATAAGTTTTGCGTGTTCTCACGCCCCATATCTTGTAAAATATGTATCCTAACATCCGTGGACAGCTTGTTCCACTAGACTTCATTGGGTTTCTGCTTGACCATTTTATACAGGTGTGCTGCCCACTGCTACCATTTCCATGGCAACAGTTAACATTTATTATCATTTGACCCAGTACCATTCACTCCACCACTATATGTTTGTTATACAAACATAGCTCTGGGTTCCAATAGAAAATAAATGGGAGTCGAGACTGCAAAAAAATGGTTCTTACACACACGTTTTGACCCATGTTAATGGATACTAACCCCTAACTTCTGACCATGAGAATCACTTAACATTTACATTGTCTCTTCCTCGGACTTTTTTACAGATACAAGCTTAGTACTATCTAGATACAATTACAAAAGTTTTACCATGCGGGTGTTACTCTACACCTTTAGTTTATGACTTGATGCCATCATGACTAAAATACACCAACATGGTGTCCAAGGTCAGGATATTCAATAAATGGACAAGGGACAATCTATTGGCATTTCCGTGTTACGGGTCATGAAGATGCTGTATGATAAAAAAAAAATTTGCATTGGTGTTATCCAATATGCAATCATCTCTTCCATATTTCGAAAGTTCATCAACCATTTCAATAATGCCTGGTACACTCTAATAGTGAACTTTATACCATACAAGTAGTGTTGACAATGTTTCACGAAGACTACAATGACAAGCTGTTCTTTCTTCGTCATACGGCCCGGCATGGACAGGTGGTTAGGGCGCTTGACTCGCAATCTGCGAGTCTCGGGTTCGAAACCCCGTTCCACCAAAACATGCTCGCCCTTTTAACCGTGAGAGCATTATAATTTAACGGTTGGTAAAAGAGTAGCCCAAAAGTTGGTGGTGGGAACTAGCTGTATTCCCTGTAGTCTTACACTGCTAAATTAGGGACGGCTAGCGCAGATAGCCCTCGTGTAGCTTTGCGCGAAATTAAAAAAATAAACAAACAATCTTCGTCATACAGTATCTGCATTCAGGAGCCATGAGCATGTGATTGGAATACGTGATTACACGTTCTAATCCACCCTGCAATTGCACTAACTCTGTTCTGATTCAACTTTCACTGGCATCATTACCTACCAAAACCTTAATATTCTTAGAGATATGCCAAAAATGGGGATTCTGCCACACTCCTGACTTAGCCTCCATTAGTTTTCTGGAGCTGTAGTAGCAGCATTTACTGTTGACCAAAACCGATAATCTTATAAATTTTGCTGCAAGGCAAAATATGGGTAATTTATTTTATGTTGACCCAATATTCCACACGCAAAGCAAATATTTTGCTCCTCTCTTCCAGTAATACTTCCAGATCTCCACTTTCAACATTGGCATCATTACAGCATATAAATTATGGGGGCCCTGGATAGCCCTGG